AAATAATTAAAATAAACTCATGTAGGATATCAGACAATTTTTATCTACATTATAGGGTTCTCCAAAAATTCGTCAAGTGAATAGTAGGCTTTCTCAATTATTTTATCTTTTATTTTATCTTTGAATTGAGTAGCATTTAAATTTTTAAGATACAGGGGTAATTCATTGTACAATCTAAGTCCCATATATTGAGGGCTGTTCCTAAAAGTCGTCAATTTGTGATGTGGTAATCTGAAATTATATTTATTCCTTGTATTATAATTATGTGTAAATTTGACTGCATCTGACAAATTTTCCTTAGTGTTATGTATCCAATTTAGAATTTCATTTATGTATAATCCAAAAATGGTGTGAATTCTAAGATTTTTAAACAGGTTTTTACATGATTTTCTCCTTCTTGATTTGGTTAAGATTCTAATAATTTTTTTCTGTAAAATTAGTAGGGATTTCACTTCTGTTGACACTCCCCACAGTATGATTCCATACCTCAAGATGGATTCAACGTATCCATAGTAAACTGTGATACATGTATCCTGAGGTACACAGTTTATCAGGTGAAAGAAAGCAAAAGAAATAGATCTTAGTTTGCCTTTCATCTTATCTATGTGAATCTTCCAATTAATATGAGTATCAAGCAATACACCCAAAAATCTATGAGATTCTACTAAATTTGGAATTTTATCGAGAATTACATTGTTTTTTAAAGAAAATTTAATTATATGAGTTTTGTCAATATTCAGCTTTAAACCATTATCTGTAAACCAATTTTTCATACAATCCAAAGTGTTTTCTATTGATACAATTAAGTTATTTACTGAATCCTCTCTTATGATTGCTGTTGTATCATCAGCAAATAAGATTAAATCTCTGCCAATAGCTTTTGGAAGGTCATTAATAAAGATCAGGAAAAACAGAGGGCCCAATATTGACCCTTGAGGTACACCATAATTAGATAAATTCCAGTTTGACATATGTTTCACACCGTTTTTGGTCACTATTGTTCTATACTTTCTGTTCTGTAAATAAGAGTCTAATAAAGAAAAACTTTTACCCTTTATACCGTAGTCTTTTAATTTAGAAAGCAAAATTGAATGATCCACACAGTCAAAGGCTTTAGACAGGTCACAGAAAACACCAGCAGTAGTTTCAGACCTGTCCAAAGCCCCTGTAACATCATTGATAAATTCAATCAGTGCACTATTGGTGCTGAATGTCTTTCTAAACCCAAACTGTTTTTCATAAAACAAATCATTGCTGTTAAAATAGTTTACTAGCCGGAAATTGATAACTTTTTCAAATATCTTTGAAAAATTACTTAAAACAGATATTGGGCGGTAGTTATTTATATCGGTTCTAGCCCCTTTTTTGTATATTGGAGTAATATGAGAGTATTTCAATTTTTCCGGGAAAATACCACATTCAAAACATTTATTAATTATATCTGAGAGGGGTTCAGCAATTTTATTTGCTACTGCTTTGATGAGTGAAATGGGAACTTCATCCCAACCCACCGATGTCTTATTTTTCAAAGAAAATATTATTTTTAAAATTTCATTTTTGTTGGTTGGTTCAAAGTTGTACAGTGAACACCCCTTTATATCCACAGATATTTTCATATTTGGATGGACACCCTTTACAATAGGATTTGGCAAGTTTAAGCTATTAACAACATTTAAAAAAAAAGAATTAAAAGTTTTGGCAACAACATTTTGGTCTTCAATTAATTCATTATTAGAGACTTTTAATGAAATATGATTGCCACAACTATCCTCTTTTCTAATGCCTAATTCGTTATTTACAACTTTCCACATAGCTTTTGGTTTATTTAATGCATTATTTATGTATTTGCTGTTAGACCTTTTTTTAGAACTGTTTACAACTTTACGAAATATCTTTTTATAAGACTTTACATAGTTAAGAAAAATTGGGTCTGTACTGGTTTTGGCTTGCCAATGCAACTCACGCTTTCTTTTGCTAGAAACCTTGATACCTGTTGTTACCCAATCCAATATAACAGTTTTTATCTTAGATTTCTTTTTTACAGCCTTTAGTGGGAAATAATGATTCAACTGCCCTATAAAATAACTCAAAAAATGGTTGTAACTATCATTAACATTACAATTATCCAAACATAATTGACTTTTGTCAATTTCAAAAGTTTTTACATATTCGTTCATAGCATTTTCACTAAAAGTTCTTTTATAAAAAACCTTTTTGTTGTTGTCATTTATCAATTTGTTAGGTAGATTTATAAACAGTGCATTATGGTCAGATACACAAAGACCAATATTATATTTACAGATAACCTTGAGTTTTGTTTGAGTCGCAATGTTATCAATGCAAGTGCGAGAGTTACCTGATATTCTTGTTGGTTCATTGAAGTTTAGATTAAATCCATTACATTCAATAATATCATAGAATTTTGAAATTAAGTTGTTACTTTTGAGAATATCTATATTGAAATCAGAGGCCAGTATGATAGATTTAGTTTTGTTTTCATTTTTTAATTGATTCATTAAAAGTTCTAGTTTAGTGAGGAAAAGCTTTCTTATGTTATATTCTGGAACTGTATAAATTGATACCACTAGTAAATTCATTTCCACAATTTCAACAAATGAACCTTCAAAAATGAAATCCTCATTTAATACTTCCAGGTCTGCTCTTGTTTTAAAGTTAAATTCTTTATGCACTAATATACAAGAACCTCCTCTTTTTTTATTATTTTTTCTTATAAACACATTTCCCAAATTAAAATTATCAAAGGTGTTAAAAATATTAAATGAGTCCTCATTGATCCAATGCTCATTTAGTGCAAAAATCTTAATTTTACGTCCAAACTGTGATAGAAACATATTTAAATCAGCCACTTTACCTGGATTTAAGCCTTGAATGTTCATATGCATAAACATATCATGAACTGATCTCTGGAGTTTCAATAAAGAATTCTCATTGTTAAAAGTACTTTCTACCCTACTACAAAAAATATTATTTACAATAGATGTCTGAAAACAGTGAGTTGCATTACTATTTACATTGGATCCAATAATTGGCTGATTTTTGAGTTTAAAGATGAGGGCACCTCATTCTGATTTTGACCAACATCAGCACTCACAACAGAAGCCATAGCACAGACACTTGCATCTGGGTAAGGTAAAACATTGCACTGCTCTGCTACATTCATCACTTTCACTGATGAGCTTGATCTTGATTCCTCACAGCTGGACTCTAGATGATCTGGAGCAACTCCATGGTTAAGGAGATTCTGTTGTAGGGCTGGGCTGGAACAATTCTTTCCTTCTTGTAGATTTTTCTTCAGGGTTGAGAGGTGTACATCCGTAGTCTCCTGGGAAAGCGAACATGAGGGTTGAGTGGCATCACTGTACTCTGCAGCAATAGATGATTGCAGCTTCTCGAAGAAGTCAGAGTGGGAAAGCCCCCTCCACAGTCTTCTCCTTGCAGCTGGCTGTTCATGCGATATGATGTAGACTGTTGCCTTTGTACTTTGTTGAAAATGTACAATATTCTTCACAAAGTGTTCTATTTCTATACAGTCACGAACACATCCCATTGCCGAACAGATGAGGGTCTTCAGATTTTTGTTTTTAAAATCTTCCTTTAGTTGTTCAAAGGCCTCATCATATTCTTGACTTGATGGTTTCCCATTATAATCATTTTTGGTAACTAGACTGTAGATATTGGCGCCGCTCTCCACAACTTGCAAGGTTAATCTTGTATTAATGTAGTCTGTTTCTTTAGGTCTCCCAAACTTATTTTTGAAAGCTACAGCTACACCAGCCGACATATTTCTGTTGCAGTGAAGATCGCCTGAAATGGTGTGGGCAAATGCCACCGTTGAGTCATTTTCAAATTTACTGAACATATTCCCCATGCTGGTTTTCATGACATTGATGTTGAGTGGCCTTATATGTGTAACAGTTGGTGGTTTCTCACTGGGTGTTGGATTAAGTACATCTCTAATCATGCAAGCTATCTTTTTTTTCCCAGACCTATTAAAATGAAGGCCATGCCTAGTATAATGATCACGCGATAATTCATTTATTGGCAAGAAGGCTGCATGATTGAATTTGTCTACTAAATTTTTAATGTCCATGTTGAGGTAGCTTATTCGATTATTTACAGCAGGATTATGGTGTCTGTAAGGTAGACCTGCAACAATTATTTTTGTGTGCGAAGTTTGATTAAGAACTTTCTCAATCATAGCTTGATGATTTTTTTCAGCCTGACTTATCTCGTCATTAGATCCACCAAGCATAATCAAAGTATCAGACTTGGTAAAGTGCTTCGTTAGTCCTTTGATATCCCTGACAACTTCTGAAAGGATGGCATTTGGTTTAAAAATGCAGCTGATATTTAAATCACTTTTGGGCCAGACACTGTTAAGTTCAGAAACTACATGCCTTCCATGGCTGTCTGCTACAATTAGAATTTTATTTCTAGTGTCCGGGGGACTAGTCAAAGGTGTAATTGGGGATTTTAAAGACGAGGGAACAAACACTTTTACACCGGCTTCTTTCTTTCTATGAGAAGATGTCAATTGTGTCTTCAAATTAATGTTTTCCTGTTCTAGATCCTGCATCTGTTTATTAAGAGATGTGATGTTTCCTTTAACTTTGATCTCCCTCATCATTGACAGCAAGGTATTCTTTTCCGTTGTCAATTGATTATTCAGGACGTATGCAATATATGATCGTTTTCTAATAAGATCAATTTCAGAAATTTGCAATTTACCAAGGGTTTCAGTGTCCAGGTCAGAGCTGTGCTCCACAATATCTAGGATCAAGCTTTCAATCGCTATAATTGAATATATGCCACAGTCATAGTTGTTTAACTGAATTGGAAACGGAATGTGAGTAAAGTCCAAACACTCAAGCTCAAGATATTCATTGAGTTTGTCAGCTACAGTCTTTGCATGTTTAATAACAGGATTTACAGAAGAATCAATGTAGAAGGCACACTTTTTGTTAAAGCAATGTTAAAAAAGATATAAGATAAAAATCAAATAAAGCAAAATCTTTGACAAAAAGTTAGTGTCCCCCACGGGTTTCAAACTCGAGACCTCCTGAACACTAGTCCGTTACGCTATCAATTAAGCCACGAACGCCGTTGGAATCACATCGTCTCGTTACGGTAATCGTGTTGCCTCAAGAGAAGACATTAGCCACTATAGATATGACGTCACCACACCTTTAGCCATTGTCCCTCCCATATGCCCATTCCTACTGTATTCTGTTGTACGGTATTTATTTCAGCTTAACTTAACCAATTAATAGTTTCATTAATACTTATGAAGTCAAAAAGGGTGAAGCCTGTGGGTAACAGCTAGTTTTTATTAGAATTGCGTTGGGTGATCAGCTGATTTACTAATAATATTGTTAGTTTGTAGTTTGTTATGAAACAGGCCCCTGTTTGTAAATAATACCTATAATTTATTAGGTTAAGTACTTTTCACTGTGATCACGGCATGAATGGCCGAATCACACGAAAGTGTTAGAAATAAAATGTTTTCAGGATACATTGGTATTTTAATTTACTTATCAACATTTAAAGTAGCCCTCATTGGTGTAAATGCTAAAAATATATATATGTATGTATATGAATTTGAATGGATGGTGTTTTTGGCCTCTGGGGGCAACAAAAAATTTGGTCCCTGGTCCAGGTCTTACCACGAGACTTACAGTAAAAGCTTATTCTTTATATGGGGAATTTGCTTAAGGTAAGATAAAAGTAAAGGAGTGTTTAGAAGGTTTTGATGTTTTTCGATCTCCTAGTTTTGCCGAAACTACCATTTGAAAATCATGGCTTATGGGCCCTCCGTACTGCACGGAGAATGTGGTATTTATGTTTACAATACCCTGATAATCCTCAGCCGACAGACTTCTTGTTGACCAGCAAATACACTACCATGTCATCCTTTCCCTTGACGTAGATTTGTCCTCGCTTCTCAAACTCGTACCGGTCCTGCAGTGTCGGCACACAGTGAGCCGGCAGCTGTATCCGGCCCGGTACACCGGTTGAGTCCATGCGACTTGCGATGTTCACCGCGTCGCCCCAGATGTCATAGTACAGCTTTGTGGTTCCGATAACTCCAGCTGTTATGTCTCCAAAACTGTAGCCGATCCTAGGAAGGTAAATCTATTGAGAATAGTTGGAGATGAAGTCTTAGTAGCCTATGAATTTGCAGGAAGTAGCTTCAAGTTACTACCGTTTACTATCTGTGCTCATACCCTGTAGCAAAGCCTAAATAAAGCTACAAGTAAAATTATATATGATGTGTTTTTTTTCCGTTTTATTAATAGCTCTACTTGTACTCCAAAACAGTTTGTGATTATAGGAATACCGTACAGTAAAAGCTCGATAATCAGACCTTTCCATAAAAAGGCTCAATATCATCCCTTTAAAAATCCTAACCTTATAGTATACACATACATTGTGGCTGAAAAGTAACTAGGCACCCCCTTAACTTTTAACAATTTGAGTAGGGGTGTGCGAAGCAGCAAAAAATTTTCGATTCGAAGCAACGATTCGATTCAAAAGATTTTCGATTCGATTCGATGCAACTCGATTCGAAGCAATACGATATTTTTCTATTCATAATTGTCAATTGAGTGGATTAACAATAATTAAAATTTATCACATTTGTGTAATACAAATTTTTGTTGATGTGGTATTAGGCCTATTCATACTTACATATGAATTTTAGATGAAAAAATATTTATTTTCAATCATATGTATTAGAATAACTGCTGGAAATACCAGTGAGCTGCTTTACTTGCCTATTTCATAATTTTTACTTGGAACTGGCTCAACTGCAAGAAAGAAGAAAATATTTTTTTTATCAAGACATTCATTCTCATTTTAATAACTGTTTAAATAACTAAATAGGTACCGGTAGCTAAATTACAACAAATTTGAATGGAACTTAATATAAAAAGACCATTAAGAAATAAATTTACATATCACAAGTTTAGGGCCTGTGGACCGGCTTCAGGACTGCAAGCAAGAAGAAAATAAAAATAATATGTTTCCACCATGCAACATGTATCATTCATTCCCTGCCTCCTAACCTCCTTACATTATTTGTTACATCATCATAAATAAAGAATTATTATTGGCATCAGTAGGCCTACAGCTTTACATAGGCATTATTTTTATAGGGCCTAAAATAGTAATAGGCTAGAAGCAACATGTCAAGTGGAGAACTCATTGAAGAAAAGATATTGTGTAAACTAATTTCCTATAAAACTCAAAAACAGTAAATAACATACAAACATTGTTTATGGTATAATTAATAAGGACTAAAAAATGCATATCATGTCATACAGTAGTATAGACCTACCGGTACTGCAAGAGATTAAAATCCTAAAACAACTGATTTTGATAGCTAATGAATGAAAAGAATTAAAAATCCATAAAATGAAGCTAAACAATATCACAACTAATTAGGTACCCGAAAAGTAACTCTTAAATAATATATAGAAGATTAAAATAATATTAAATCAAGAGACAAGAAAGTTAAATGCTATCTTCTAGTGCCCTTGGCAACACAGGTCAATGTTTTTAAACTACCCTCAATGTTTTTGGAACAGCAGGGCCTTTTTCTCTTAAGGAAGGGTAGTAGTATGTCAACAAAAACAATGAATCAGTCTCACCAGCCAGGCCCGGGCAACGATGTGTGAATTCAAGGTCATAGACCCTCCCCCTCCCCTCTTACACCACCCGGTTGCTACCCAGTTGCTTCAATTGCTGACAAAATGCAAGTGATGAAACAAGGAAGTAGAGACAAAGAAATATATTTCTTTATTCAAAAACACAAAACTGTTAGAGATTATTTTCAAAGAAATTAATTCAATGTAATTTGTGAGTTGTAAATATTGTATTGGATCTTAGAAATATATTTTTTTAACCCTATTTAACCAAGATACAGATCTGTTCACTATATCAGATATTTCTTTTGTTTATAATTTATTATGTAAAATACTAAAATATATTTTTAATTAGGTATTGAATGAACAATAAATGATTATACTAGTATGTCTGGATAAATAGTCTTTCTATTCTTTTGACTTTGTTTTCTTTGCACTGTTAGTGTTGCGTCACGGCTTTTGTCTTGTTACTCTTATCAGTAGACGACTAGACCTGGCTCTGGCTAGTGGCAGTGCGGCAATTGCTCTGTTGTGTCTTTATTCTTAAAGGTCGTGAGCCAACTTAATTTTTAATTCTCATTTGAACATTTTAATTCCTCTGTAATAGATATAATAATATAAGAGTGTTTCTTTGGAAATAAATTATTCTTTTTTTTCTTTTGCCCCAACAAAAATTCGGGGACGGGGACCGACAGACACCTAACAAAAATACCAAATGTATCAGTCTATAACATTGATCTTACTAGTTAAGTATTAAGTAACAATTTTTCAGACTTATTTTTAAAATGATTTTGGAGTAACCTACCTTGTTTTGGCTAGGTTCACAGTAGTAAAATATTTCACACACTGCTTACATCAAGACAAAAAACAAAACCTCTAATCATTTGCAATGTCAAAACAAAAAAATATAAAACAATTAAAGCTATATTTAATGCAAAGAATGTATTAAATAAGAACACCTTCGTAAAGGAAACGCAACAGCAACGCGCTCCTGTATTGCGGGTATTGCATTGACTTTCTGCAGGCGTTTTTCGTATATGGATACTGACTCCCTCATGAATCGAATCGTTTTTTGACCACCACTGAATCGAATCGCGATTCGATGCATCGAATCGAATCGAATCGAAATTTCGATGCATTTTCGATGCATCGCACACCCCTAAATTTGAGATATTTAAAATCGGGTTATGGCAACCTTTTTAGATATGAGGGGCTACAATAATGATGGTCAGTTTTAAAATTCTTACCCTTAGGGGTAGCTCAGATTTTAAATGATAATTATAGTCAACTTTCATTTAATTTTACAGGTCTGAGGTCTTGATGGAAAAATGCAATTAACATAAAGAAAATAACAATCAAACCACATCTACAACAACTTAGTCAAACAACAACAAAGTTTAAGTTACAGTTGGCAGAAAGATATAACCAACTGCACAAAACTGGGTTTTTATGTTACAGTATTTTATTCACTCATAAGTTAAATCTGGTTTTATATCCAAAGACATTCTAAAACATTTATTAAAAGACAGGAAAAAAGGTTAAATCTTGAATGGTCATCTAGTTTTTCCCAGATTAGTCAGCATAAATTATGCTACCTGAGGATCTCCAAACACATAAACTAAAATTGAGATAAGACTCGTTTCAGCTTCCTTAAGAATGAAACATAACAACCAAAAACGTCATGATTCCTTCACAATGTAGCAAATAGTTATTTGTGCAACTAGTGAGAAAAGTGAGCAATTGACTCACTCGAGAGAAATCCTTACTCACGAGCCGTAGGCGAGTGAGGAATGGTTTCTCAAGTGAGGCAATTGTACTTTGAACTCGAGTTGCACATTATACTTTTCCTACAGTTACCATAAAACCATAATTTGTTACCATAATTTATGAAGAAACATAACCTATTTTTGCACAGTGAACTTTTAATATAACATTTAATGTGAAGTGACAAATACAACAGTACAACAGCTGACCAGCTGATTTACAGCCAGTGCTGCCAACGTATTTCGCGCGCATACGACGTTGCCTGCATGTTACGTGCTCACTATTTCGTGCCTTCACGTTGCAAATCTGGAGTGAGACAAAGTAATTAGAGTGAGACAATGTTAACATTGTCTCACTGATGAGCGAATTGGCCACTTTGCTTTCTCAAATCAGTGAGAGAACATGTACATTGTTATGTAACTGTAGGAAAACCATATTGTTACTATAAAAATTAAATTTTTAAACTAGTTGCTAGTCTAACCTGAGGATGAGATTAAACTCGAGCAGATCTTTGTTGAATGCGTCCACCACGGCCTGTAGGCGCAGGGCAAACTCCACGAGGGTGTGAAGATGTGAGGGGTCGGACAGACTAGGGTTGAGTCCTGAGGCAGCCATGTATGTGCTGCCGATAGTCTTGATCTTCTCAACCGACGCAAACTCTGGCTGTCCAAGCAACTCATCAAAGTCACTCATCTGCGGAGAGAAAATGTCGAATCATTCTTCACAAGTAAAGTACAGTATTCATTATCCGATCTTCGATTATCTGACCTTTTGTGTTATTCAACCCTTCCTCAGAACCATAGAGTATAACGAAACTGAAAGCTTAATTTCACATGGTTTACAGCACACTGTAGCGGGTACATCTAAACAACCCCTTCAACTGACCAGTTTGTGCTTCAAAGATCTTATATGTCTAGAGCTTTCGGCAGCTGCATTTTACTACACTTTCCGATTGTTTACTTTGCTACATACCACAAAAACATAAATTACCTTACCTCCTTGGCCACTCAAACCTAAGAAGGTTTTTTGCCTCGCCAACAAGATGCCTCCACTGCAGCCAATCTGCCGCTAGGAGTAGAGGCATCTTGTTGGTGAGGCCAAAAACCTTCTTCTTGGGCTTCTTGGGTTTGTGTTTTTGACACACCTAAGTACAAAAAGTTTCAATGCCTAATAACAAAAATTAAGTAAAATACTTACAAGTTCATTTAGAACTCGGAGACATTCACGTCCACCCAGATAAGACTCGTCATACATTTCTGAGAAGTTGATTATGCTTGCAAAGATAATGCCAGCGTTGTGAACGTTCTCAGAGTATCTGTGCAAGCAAAATATGTTTATTGTTTTCTACATAAACAAACACACTAAAACCTCATTCACATAGCTAATTTATCTTCGTTAAGCTGGACTTTCTGTCCTAATGTCAAAATTACATTCATGTTTCACATAAAACATGAGGTGAGACTTGACAATTCACACTGGTTTAGTAGTAGTTTACTTAATGAGTAGAAAATTAAAGGTACGAGCCTTGGTGAGTGACTTTACAACTTACGATTGTTGTTAACGCTAACTACGCGAGTTGCGTACACTACTTGACCTACGACCGTTTTTTATTCTATAAATCACTACTCATAACTTTCAAGAGAGGTTTGTTTATATCTTTCATAGCCACTGATTGTGATGCTACGACTTATTGTCTCAAACACTCACTCGTTGTTTAGTAAATTAAATTGGTTAACATTTGATAAGTTGACGTTTGAAGTATTAAAATTTAAAATTTTACTTCTTTTCTCTCAATCATTGAACCTCATTGGTCCGTTACTCGTGTTGTTAAGTAAAACAACTTCAATTCTAAGAACTGAACTGGCCCGGCTAGTTTAAAAAATAAACTATTATTTTTATCATAGTATGACTTTTAGAAGGGAGAGTTTTTATAAACAGAGAAAGTTCACCATCCATGAGACACCTATTTTTATGCCTAGATATGTAGACCTACATCTGAAGGTGGGCTCAGAACCACTGGGTTTGGCACACACACCTAATACTCGTGTATTCTGACACAAGTTTTTCCTTTAGTTTTTAATCCCCTCTGCCCCATTACAATGTATGGAGAAAGTATTATTTTCGTCAACATTTTCGTGTTCAAGTTTAGGATGGCAATATATGTTTTGGGTTTCCCTGAACCAAAAAAGTGGTTTTCAAAGTGAAGTCTGTGTGGAATTCTGTATGTGGGTACTAATCCATGGGATCTCTTCAGTTATTTTCCTTCTTTTGGAAAGTTTGATTTTTAATGGTGGTTTTTACATAAAAACCCATTTTAAAACAGATGTAATGGGTGGGGTCAAATATTGTAGGCAGGAAGTGTTTGGCAATGTTTTGTGAGTAGACTGGGAGTGTTGTCAAAAAGTAACATGTTGTGCTGACCTACAAAAGGCTGTTGCTTTAAGTAGGCCAGTGCACTTGATCAGGAGGAGTTTTGGTGTTGAGTGATTGTGTGGTGCACCGGAGGACAGGGTCCTGTTGGGGGAGCTGGAGCACAAGCCAGGTAATACAATGTTAAGGGTTTTCAAAATTGGGGTTTAGAGTCTTTTCCAAATTGGGGTCTCAGTTTCTAACTTAATGATTTATACAGTTCCAGTCTACTCTACCTTTTAGTTTGATATTTATCTTTGTGTTATTTGTATCATTTTGGGTTTTAATAAAGTTGGGTTTTACAAGCAAGAGCTAAGTTTCATTCCTGAGCTATGTCACTCAAAGTAACAGTGGTACCTCAAGTAGAGGGACCTACCGTTACAGGTGATGGAAGCGTAATTTTTTACAAAACTTCGATCCTGGTACAAAAAAAATTGCCTTTAATTTTTGGGGTTCTAGTAGTGTTGACAAATTTGGTTTTTTAATATATTTTTTTATTATTTGTAATCACTACTTTGGTGCAGTTTTTAATCAGTTTATTTGGGGGTTCGAAGGGCTGGAATGTCGTAAATGTGAAGTTTTCCAGTGTTATTTTGTGCGAGTTAATGTGTCATGCGCAGGTTGCACGTAAGTTCATCATGTGTTCGTGTTCGGTTACACAAGACCGTCATGCGTCATGTGCGGGTTGCATGAAAGTTTTTCATGTATTCGTGTTTGGAGAAAATATGTGTAAGATTGCTGCTAACGTTTTTTTGTTCATACAAATAAATGTTGTTCATAACACCTAAAGTTTACCAAAATAATTTATCGTTCTAGTACACAAATTAATTTTACATACTAACTTGGCCGTGGTCTTGAGATGTTCAGCCACATGTTCAGGTATGATGTTGTGCAACAGCATCTCCGCCTGGTCCTTCATCGTCTGCACCTTGGCCTTGTCTCGGGCAGCTACCATGTTGCCGTGGAAACTAAGCCTGTAGCTGATTTCAAACTCTCGGTTTAAAAACCAGACTAGCAGAAGGATTAGCAACACGTCCAAATATATCTCATAGTTGATTACGTTCTGTTCATCTGCCCTATTCTGTGAAGAGGCGTTGAACGCATCGAGTGTGTCGTTAAGATTGAGATATGGCACTGGCGAAGAATTATTACTAAACGAGACCTTGGAGGTATACGACATGAGATCCTTCAAATTCGGAAAAGGCACAGAACTACTATTCTGACTAGTAACATCGGCCACGACCTCACCGTCATAAGCCGATTGTAAATGTAATGAAATGACTATTAAATAACTTAACCCTGCTATTGTTGCTATTGAGCTTTTCATCCAACAGTTGAGTTGGGTAAAGTTACAAAAGTGAATGATACCGATGAAAAATAACGACGTGAAGTAATAAATGCTTTCTATACTCCTCAAACCCTCGTTTGTACAAATGAAAATTACAATCATCGGCAGACTGACTAACACACCTCCGATGATGTGCCACGAATACCAGTCTGAAAAACGATCCAGGCCCGAGTTGAGCTCAGGCCAAAATACTGAACGCAGGCACAAGATTAAGGCTAAACTCTGAATGCCGGTGAGAAGAAGGAAAAAAGGGAACAACGTTGTTGGCATTTCAAACAAAGAGAGGCATGATATTGTTAACAGCAGAAACACCTGAAAACAACACAATCGTCATCAGACAGGCAAAAATTTGTATCAAAAGTTAATTCTGTTTTATGGTGGAAAACCTTAAAAATAAATAATTGATTGGCTGAATCTCTACATTTGAATTCGACACTTTAGTCCATCACCCTCAATCTGATACTGCAGTGAATTAATCAATTGTCTATATCGATACAATACTGACAACCCTGGAATTTGATTCCTGTCGTGACAATAGTCTCAAAGTGATAATTTAATTTGGTAAGTAGAGAAGTGTGATTTATTTAATATTTGTTACCTGATGGCAAGTAACAGTTTTTAGCACCCAAACAATGTAAAACAGGTTCACCTATACTTGAAATATAGGTTATACTTTTTGATACTTCAGTTATGGGAAAAGTCTGTAGACAAGAATTTTAAGCTAGGCTATATCAAATATTAGTTCATTGATTTGTTTGAAATATTACTTAGACTGATCAGCTTAGTCAAGGAGTGCATAATATGGCATCTTAAGTTGACTTTTCTAAGCTTATAAATTAAATTGTTTATTATTTTCAGTAATCCAAAACCCTCTGTCGCATAACCAGAAAACAATGAATGAGCTATAATGAAATTAAGAGTACAAAGCTTTTTTGAATAAGCTATCTTACTTGCACAGAATACCTTACAAGAAGTTTTGACAAATATTATATAATCAGTAACAAAATATTTCTCTGTATCATATTAATAAATAAAAAATAAATAATGCTGAGTGATAAATAAACGTGTTATTATAATAAGTGTCGGATTGTTCAGAGTAGTTATAATTAATCTTATATATTTTGCAAAACTTATGACAGCTAGCCTCACCATACTACTGGACTGAATTACACGCGGATTGTACTAAAAGGTTATAGGTCCTATATGTGCAGGTGATATTTATATTTTGAAAATATTTATGTTAATTGGGTCAAAAATGGAAATTAAATTTCAAATCATACTACACAGAAACGGGTACTTTTCCATCCGTATTGATAGGCTGGAAAGTTGCCCTTTACCGTGCCTAAACACAGAAAAGTAACATTATGTACTTTTACCGTTCACTTACTTAGTCAGCTGATGAAATAAACAGCTAACTGAAATGGCCTATTTTATTTTCTGTAATATAAAAATATTATAATTTATGTTGTCCTGAATAAATTGTGTTTTCGACCACGGGGCGAGCTCTAGTGTAGTAGTAATACTTTTCTTCAAAAATATTACCTAGAAAAATCATAAGATTTAGATTAGCATAAATTTCACCAGGATGTTGAAATGACTTACTAGAATAGCAATGGCAATGTCGAGGTGAGTGTTAAAGCGTGCGGTGGCGAGTGTCGACGCCTCCTCTTCACACGAGCGGTGAGCCTTCAGCCTATACTCAGCCTCCATGTCTTGCTGACGGAAGAACAGAGTTACGCTGTGCAGTGGAGGCTTCACGAAGTAGCTGCGTTGGGATGTCGTGTTATCCTGATACAATCATTGTTATCTTAAAATATGAAAAAATTAGGCTTTTAGCATTTTTCTTACAATTTTCAGAGGTTTGCTATTACTTTTTTGATTTGCCCAATGTAAATGAGAAATGGATCCATGTATAAGTGGAATAAAAAGAAATGGATTGTTTACTTACATGGAAGGGAAAATCTAATCTTACCAGAACCCCTTCACAAAATCATGGACATTAAGTTGTGGTTGACGTGTTAAGACCTAGAGTCAGCCCTTTCTTAACCTAACCAAACTTAATAATTTAACCTTATTTAGGCTACATCACCTTAATTTGCAGATGGGAAAATTTAAAAAAATGATGGTTCTCATCTTATAAATATCCGAAAATTAATGAGAGTTCCTCATTACAATCTATTCCCTCACGATGTTTCAAAAAACAATATACAGCAGCAGTGTTGTTTGGAGTGTTATTTTTTGTGCAAATCTCTGTAAGCTCTAAAACTCTAATTTTCACTAAGCTGAACTCTCTTTGCAAAAGGAGTTCCCTCATGATCCAAATTTTATAGTCATAGTTATTGTTGAGTACTTTTAATTTAACTCTTTGTTCCAAATGAAACATAAAAGGTACTACCATGGATAAAACATACTCCCTAAGTAGATTTCTCATACCTGAAGAACATAACACAACATAAAGCTGAAGACAATTTTATTGTTAGTTCTGTGCGGTGTACTACAGAGGTGATGTTTTGTTTACGATTTGTTTCTTGTTATTTCAGTAATTTAAAACCTCGTTTAATCAAATAATAAGATCTAATCATAAACAATAACTTGTACCCTAGTTATATAACCAAACCGTAAACGAAAAATCAAGATATTAACCCTAAAATAAAAGGAACAAAATTTCGTCGACACTAGCACCCAGTACAGGAACTAGACACGAAAAACGAGGTTCAAAATTAACGATGGGATGAGAAGTCTACTTGTGTTGGTTTAGTCTATGCTACTACATTTTTATGAGATAGTAAATAACTGATTCAAACCTTCCTTTGCTAAAAATGCTATCGGTGACAATGCAATGTTCTTGTTTTGGGAGATTGTGAAAAGCTTATGTGTTTCTTGTGCTAAAGTGAGCGATTTCATATCCAGGTAATCCTGCTATCCTAACAAAAATCCTTAAAACGTAGGCCTTTGTGCTCTATGTTACATTTTAAGACTCTAAGTAAATATATTGACTGGTTTTGTGTAGCTCATTTATTTGAGTTTTAAAATGTTTTTAATCTGAGCAACTAAGTTGTTTTACAAATTGTCTGCACATAGATTTTACCTGAACACATCTTATTAGCTGAAGGTCTGACTGTTTTCTCAGTTTCTGGAAACAAAGTCCATACTGATCTCCGACCGGACTCAGCAGTCTACCACTTTTCAAAGGATCTGTAATATTCATAAAATCAACATTCATCCATATCATCAATCAAAAAGTGTTTTTGTATGGGATTTATTTAGGTTGCAGAGTAGAGTCTCAACCTAAAATGAAAAGTTATGAAAGTTCACTATTTTTCCGTGAACGTAAGGGACATTTACAGTAGCAGAAGATGTCTACAATTTTGTCGTGTGATGTTTTTGATTGTAACTACGGGAGAAGAAAATGACGTCCCTGCAAAGACAGAAGTAAATCACTATTTCCTTTGTCAAGTGTTGGCTTTGATTTTGTTATGACTGAGGACAATTTAGTTCATTCTCAATTTATTTTGTGTTTACGATTTTGTTGAGATTATAGAAGTTGTTTAAACCGATCATAGTATAACAATTACTGTAATATTTTTTAAATCAATGCCCATCAATACTAACTTTCTAAAGCAACCCTATTTTGATATTTATTAGCTAGTCTCTTAGCCTCTAAGGTCTATTGTCCAGTCCGATTGTCGGAAACAATGAGTGCAGTTCATCGAGTTGAAACAAATCGCCTGTATTCTCAACCCTCTACGCTCCAGCCACAGAAGAATCAGAACCAAGGGTCTGATGTGAGTTGCAGGGGGCCTCATAGATTCTAAAGACTGCCCTGGGTTGACAAACTGTGTAAAATTCAGACTGCTAATAAAGAATAATTCAAACGTAGAAACTTAAGGCCTGGTGTGTATCTTCCATACACAGACAACACCACGAACATCCCAGACACATATGCAAAAAAAACCTTTCAAAAGGGTTGTCATCGTACCCTCTAGGCCTACTTTGTACAGTCATATCACTTAATATTCCACAACTTTATGGCACTTGATCGTCTACAGGTAGAGTCGTTAAAAAGTTTAGAAAGCCGAAGTTAGGATAATCAACAGTCTATGGCACTAAAATTGTTACTTAAGGAATACTTGTTCTGGCTCGTCCTTACTATGCATTCCTTGTAAGACAACTGTTTTTTTAGTTAAACGTAGTAACAGTATTCCACGTATAGTGATAGAGCAAAGGGCTTTTGTTCCTGAGATCCCAGGTTTCAAATCTCAACAATCACTAATGGATTTATCTATGCCGCAACCCCTAGGCCTAGTCAGAAGTAACGTGAAAAACGATCCTGGGCGTTCTAACATGAAGCAAATTATTTCGCCTATGGAACTCCGTACCTTATCCCATTAAATCCATAGAAAACCAATCCCAACTGACATTAGCGCCATCAAACAAATTTTTATGGTGTGGCATAACGGTAGATATGAATACTAGTTGTAGCAGTGTGTGTGTGATTGAATGTTAGGGAAAGAAAACTAACTTTAATGTTGTTACAAACTTTCTTGTTGATTTTTTAAAATAAATAACTCAATTTTATTTAGCCTACAGAACAACTTGCTAGCCTATTAATCTTTTAAATGTACATTCTTTGTTAAAATGATCAAGAAAGGACTTGGTTAGAAATTTTACTTCACCTTGGTTACAACAAAACATAGCAGAAACAGATAACTTTTGAACAAAGATTCATAAATTAAGTTACCTAGCAACGAAATTCATATTTGAAATGAACATTGAACAAGTCACAAGCTCTCTGTATCGTGAGTAATATAATAAGAAATTGAAGAGTAAAACTGTAAATTAGAAACATGTAGATATAAGTTTTATCAGCTTTGCATGAATTATGAGAAGGTGTACTTAGATTTTTTTGTCCTGTAATCCAACTACTAGTACCTAGGTCATGAATTGTGGATATTTATAGAGATGCACTGTGGCTGCGATACTCCCTTTTGTGGATTAACATCTTCACTAGTGAGTACTACGACTATCCGCAGTACTATCCTGATAATTAGACCAATTCGTTACTACCAAGGCAAGAATGTAGATTCCACTATAAACTGTAGGTCCCTTAATTGCAATTAGCTGTTTGGGCTATTCTAAAGAATATGTCGGCCTTAGTCACTAACAAGACTACAAGATTGCGCCACTCATCCTACACTCATATTTGGGTTAAAATATGCACATAGTGGCGTCCCCATCTTAAATAATTGATACCTAATTGATAGAGATAGAGTCAAATTTCTTGCTTAGTATTATAATCAAATCACTTATACATAGTTACTTACCAATGTAAATTCATCCCATTTCTATGATAGTAGTTTGGTTAGCCATAAGTTTGATTTCATATGGGGTTTTTTGTGGTTAAGATAGGTAATAAATACAAGCACTTGTAACTTGCATAACTATTTATTCATAACTGAATAGTAAATATTATGATATGAAAATTGTAAATAATTAACACATGGATTAATATAAAAAGTACAGAAGCAAAATAGCAAAATATATAACAGTTCAGAGTTAATCGACTCATGTTTGGCGTTAAAGTAGCTCCTGGAATTTGGCAAAGAATCATGGACAAGGTCTTATCAGGTATAGAAGGCACTCAATGCTTCTTCGATGACATAATCATCCAAGGAAAATCAGAAGAAGAGTTGCTCACTAGGTTGGAAATGGTACTTCAAAGAATAAAAATGAACAGACTAAGGTTGAACAGAGATAAATGCAAGTTTCTACACAAACAAATTGAGTACTTAGGTCACACTATAGATGCCCACGGAATCCACAAATCAGAAGATAAAGTTAAGGCTATCAGACAAGCAAGAAGACCCCAGAATGTTAGTGAACTGCGAACCTTCTTAGGTCTTGTCAACTATTATAACAGATTTATCAAGAACCTGGCAACAGCAATGGAACTAGCCAAAGATGAAAGCTCCTTGGTCAAAACATCAACAGATTTTACAAAAAAATACTGTTCACAAGATTGGAAACACAAAATTGAACTATGTATCCAAGAAATCTCAGCCTTCATCCTTTGACAAACTGAGAGGAAGATGCTACCGTTGCGGTTCACGGGAACATAGAGCCAACAACTGCAAGTTTGCTTCTGAAACGTGTCACAAATGCAAAAAACAGGGTCACATTGCCAATGTCTGTATGCAAGCAAAGGAAACCAAAGTTCATCAGACTGAAGAAGATGGAAACGATAATTGTCAAAAAGAAACTCATGAAATTTACAAATTGAACAATAGCAGTAGTGATAAAATACTTATTGATGTTTTGCTAGAGGGAAATCCAGTCCAGATGGAGCTGGATACAGGTTCAGCCATTAGCACCTTACCATATAATATGTTCAAGAAACTTAATACAAACAGAAGACTTTTTAATACACAGCTACGACTTAAAACCTATACAGGCGAATTATTCAAGCCCAAAGGCGTAGTCAAAGATTACATATGCTACGCAAAATAGATATTGCACCTTACGGCAATTTTGTGCCAAGTCGTTTTTAGACGGGGCCACCTTCACGTAGTTGGGTGGTCCCTCAACAGAGGCGTTGTGTCAAGTCTCGATCTGCATTACCATTCAAGTTCGGGTGAGTTCGGTAATGTTCGCGTGCTCGGGATTAACTTGCCTGTACGCAACGCGCTCGCCGACCCGTCGTCATCGTATCTTATAGTTTGAAAGCGCACAGCTGTCATTAATGTACCATAACTTTATCTTTTTACAAAAATGGCAGTTATTTAATTTAAAATTAAAGTGACCAAGTAACAAAGAGCTAAAGGATACTAAAGGTTTACTGATATAAACATGAATTAATAAAAATCCTCAAAAATTGCGGTCACAGTGATATAATAAGCTTACAATGTTATACTAATTTTTCTGCATTAAATTTTAACGTTTTGGCATTAAGGACAAAGAGGGCAATATTTTAGTACAGAAACAGGAAGTGACCAACAGATGGAGAGAGCACTTTGAGGAGTTACTAAATGGGGAAGAAATTGACAATAATGAAGAAATCCCCATATACCATGATGTACAACCTCTTGTTGAGAATCCAAGTATTGAAGAAGTAGAACAAGCATTAAATTCCTTAAAGGATAACAAATCTCCTGGAGAAGATGGTATAGTAGCAGAATTATTTAAAAAAGGTGGCAGGACTACACTAGAAAAACTCCATGATATAATATGTAGAGTATGGAACGAAGAAAAAATGCCAAAAACATGGAAAGAATCTATAATAGTGCCAATATATAAAAAAGGAGACAAAGGAATATGTGGAAATTACAGAGGAATATCTTTGCTCAGTCATGGATATAAAGTTTTATCAAAGATTATTCAAAAGCGACTCGAGGAATACACAAGTAGTATAATAGAGGATCACCAGGCAGGATTTGTAAAAGGGAGATCTACAATGGACCAGATTCACATACTTAAACAAGTTATTAGTAAGCACTGGGAATACAATAAAGAAGTACATGGGCTTTTCATTGATTTTTCGAAGGCCTATGATAGCCTTGACAGGGGAAGAATATATCAGCAGATGGAAAAGTTTGGGATCCCCAGAAAACTAATAAAACTAGTAGAAATGTCCTTGAATGAATCAAAATGCAAAGTAAAAGTAGATGGAGAGTTATCAGAAAGCTTTGAAGTAAGAACAGGCGTAAGGCAAGGTGATGGAATGTCACCTATACTATTTAACATAGCATTAGAAGAGGCCCTCCAACAAGTAAGACAAACAAATATAGGTTTAGAAATGGGAACAAAAATAAACATCCTAGCTTTTGCGGACGATGTAGTAATTCTGTCCAAAAACAGAAATGACCTAGAGGAGCTAACCAGACTGTTCATAAAAAAATCAGAAAAAATGGGCCTAAAGATTAATGATGAGAAGACAAAATATATACACTTCACGAGACAGCCAAATGAAGTGAGGACAAATGAAATTAGTATAGATGGACATACTTTTGAAGTTGTTGAACAATTTAAATATCTAGGGGTAATTATATCAAGCAGCAATAGTGAAGAAATGGAAATAAATTATAGGATTGCTCAGGCCAATAAATGTATGTATTCTTGTAAGAAATTGTTGACTTCAAAGATTCTCTCACATAAAACGAAAATAAAAATATATCATAGTATAATTCGACCAGTATTAA